ACCCACGTGTCTGCCTGTGTCCCTGTCTCTGCGTCCCTGTCACTCTCTCCTTCACCTCTCAAATCTTAGTGAAGCTGTTGTTTCTGTCTAATGCTCTCCCCTCCCTCTTCAAGGTCCAATCACAGCTCTGAGTCCTCTTTCTAAGGAGGCTTAAGGAGTTGGGTCTGTTTCTTTTCCAAAGTGACAGCTACGGCTCACCTTCAGGTTTGCTTCCCATCTGCCACCGTGGGCTGTAACCTCACTCTCTGAGCCAGAGCAATCCTTCCTTCCTCCTTCCTTCCTCCTTCCTTCCTCCCTCCTTCCTCCCTCCTTCCTTCCTTCCTTTCTCCTTCCTTCCTTCCTTTCTCCTTCCTCCTTCCTCCCTCCTTCCTTCCTTTCTCCTTCCTCCTTCCTTTCTCCTTCCTCCTTCCTTCCTTCCTTTCTCCTTCCTCCTTCCTTCCTTCATTCCTCCTTCCTTCCTCTTTCCTTCCTCCCTCCTTCCTTCCTCCCTCCTTCCTTCCTTCTTCCTCCCTCCTTCCTTCTTCCTCCCTTCCTCCTTCCTTCCTTCCTTCTGTTGTTACTGTCACAGTGTCAAGAAAAGTAAGAAACAGCCAAGCAAGCAGTGGTAGCATGAGCCTGTAACCCCAGCACTCGGGAGGCAGAGGCAGGCGGATCTCCTAGTTCGAGGCCAGCCTGGTCTACAGAATGAGTTCCAGGACAGTCAGGACTATGCAGAGAGATTCTGTCTCGAAAAACCAATAAATAAATAAAGGTAAGGAATGTAGTGCACACCAACTTTGCAGGAGGTGACACTTTTTTGTGGGGGTCACAATACAGATGTTTAGGTTACTTTTGCAGGGACCCAAATGCCCTAGGTCTGCAGATGTCTCAGCGGGAGACCAGAATGGGGTGAGACGCTTGTCCTATCTCCATATTGCATTTGACTCCTCTGCCGTGTCAACTTTAGCATGGGTCTCTACTCGCCTCTGTGTGGAGATGTGTGTTGTGGGAAGAAATAACGTAAGGCCAACATGAATAGACTTCCCTTCAAGGCTGTCTTCCAGAGACCATGACTGGGAACAGCAGAGCGTGAACATGCATCGGGAGAGAGGAGGGAGAGAACTCAGGGCTAACAGGGGAGAGCAGGGAGGATGGAGCTTAGGGCCAAGCCTGCTGACCTCGGTTCGATCCCTAAGACCCACAAGGCGGAGAGCGAGAACCGACCACCTCCAGCTGTCCACCAACTCCCAGTCCCCATCGCTGCCCTGCCCAGCAAATGAAAAGCAAAGAAGCAAGTACGTAATTTTACAGAACTCGTGAAAGAGAGGAAGAATATAAACGCCCTCACCTGGGCTTCATCCAGCTAACGGGCAGCACGGGAACACCCCTGGTGTATGAATGGGAGAGAGATGGCCTCCTCGCTCAGACGCCATCCTGTCTCTGCTTACTAGGCCATGTGCATGCGTTCCTTTCCTTTTTCTTCTTCTTTTTAATCACTTTTTACTGTTTTGCGAACTCATGCACATGTCCAGGGACAATTTGTTGGCACTCTTCCATCAGGAGGGTCTCAGGGATCGAACCCTCGTTGTCAGGTTTTTGACAGCAAGCACCTTAACCCACAGAGGCATCCCACTAGTCTTCCTTCTATTTTTTTCAGAAGATATTTATTTTTATTTTATTTTATTGTGTGTGTGTGTATCTGCGTGTGTGTGTGTGTGTGTGTGTGTGTGCGTGTGCCCGCCCGAGTGAGTGAAGATTCTGTGGAGGCCTCGAGCTGAAAATTACAGCCAGCCTATGAGCTCAGGTCCTCTGTGTGAATAGTATCCACTCTTAACATCTGGGACCCTGTTGGTCACAATGTATCTAAAAAGTTTTGACCTGACATTTTTTGTTGTTGTTCCATAGCTATTAATACTTGATGAAGCCATTTCTATATTTAGCTCAAGAATAAGCTCTTTGAAATGAGAGCTGTGGTTTGTGTGGAAAGACCATGCGTTATCCCTCGCCCCCTTTATGGTTTTCCATTCCATTGTGTTCATTTGTTTGTTTGTTACTATGTGTGTGGGCGCTTGCATGAGGTCAGAGGACAGCTTGCAGAAGTCGGCCCTCTGGCTTCTCTTTCCACCTCATGGGGTCAAACTCAGTTCCCTAGGCTGGGTAATAGTCCTTCCTGTTTTAAAACCAATCTCATTCCTATCTTCCGTCTGCAACCCTTGCTGCCCCCTAGTGGCTGATGGTATGTGAGCAACGGTATCGTTTCTTTGGGGGCTTATCAAGTGGACGGTTTCTCGGTTACATCTGATTATTTTTCAGGAGTCTTTTTTGTCTCTTTTTCGAGACAGGGTTCTTTTTTTTCCCCTGTGTAGACTTGGCTGTCCTAGGAACTCACTCTGTAAGCCACGCCGACCTGGAACTCACAGAGATCCGCCGGCCTGTGTCCTGCCCTTTCCCCCCCCCCCCCCCCGGCCCTCCCCAGTACCGTGATTAAAGGCGTGTGTGCCACCACCACCTGGTTTCAGGAGTCTAAGAATGCATGTACAAATACTGGGAAGGATGGCTGGGGCTGTAGCGGTGGAACACTTCTCTCTGATGTCTAAGTCTCCATGCCCAGCACTGCCTAACATACTGGGGAGGGCTATCAGAAGTTTCCCCTGGGACACGGCAAACTGGGATTCAGTTCCTGACTCTCTCTCTCTTTCTCTCTCTCCCCCCACCGGAGACTTCGTCGGGAAGTGACCTCACTTGTTAAAAGCACTTATAGCTCAGAGAGGATACTCCAGTTGTCCACCTGAAATAGGTTTTCTCGGCAGGAAGTGCTGTTCTAACTAAGGGCTAACGCAGATGTCAGTAAAGCGTCACAGCGCACTCGTAACTCTGGGGTCCTTTGCACTGACTGCCTCCGAGACTCAGTTTCCTCTATGGCACAACAGAGTCAAACATAAGTGGTGTGTGTGTGAGAGAATGGGTCTCTGTGGACCACAAGATGACATAATCATTAGAGATGGCCTGGCTGAGAATGCCGTTTAGTTGGGAGCAGTCTCGAGACTTTGGGTTCGAGCCTCAGTACTCTATATAAACTGAGAGGCAGTGCACGACTAAAATCCCCCTGCACTCTGGACGTGGAGGATCAGAAGCTCAGAGTTGACTTTGGCTACACAGCGAGTCCAGGCCGGCCTGGCTGCATGAGACCATCTTAAAAAAAAATAAAAAGAAAAAAAGAAAAGCAGGGTCTGGGTTACCTCCTTCAGGATGGCTGTTTCAAGTTCTGTCCATTTGCCTTTGAATTTCAAGATGCCATTGTTTTTTTTTTAACCACTGAGTAGTAATCCGTTGTGTAAATGTGTCACATTTTCCTTACCCATTCTCCAGGGTTTGGTTATTACGTATAATGCTGCTATGAACATAGCAGGAAGGGGGGAGACAAGATCTCCTGAGAAAATGGAAAGCATGGGGGGTGGGGAGCGGAAGGGGAGGGGGGAGAGGAGTGAGGGAAATGTATAGCCCAGTAAAAATTAATTAATTAATTAAAAACAAAAGCAAGAGGATGCGGCTCCCAAGGCCCCACCCCTCTCTGAGGTTCTACGGGCAGTTAGTGATTGCTGGGAGAGGAAGAGACATTTTCTTCAGTGGTGTAGCTGCCGGTTAGGTGCGCATGCTCCGTAAGTAACCTTCACCCTGCTCCTGTAAGAGACTTTTTAATGAAACTCACTGGGGCAGGAAGGGAGGGAGGAAGATTAAGTGGGAAGACTAAAGAGAATGAGGTTGTGACCAAATATGATCAAAATACATTTATACACTCTATGAAATTGCCATAATGAGCCGGGGCTGGTGGCGCACACCTTTAATCCCAGTACTCGGAATGCAGAGGCAGGCGGATCCCTGAGTTTGAGACCAGGGTGAGTTCCTGGGCAGCCAGGGTGGTTACTCAGAGAAACCCTGTCCAGAAAAAAAAAGAGGGGGGAGTCTTCAAGATGGTTGACAGTAAAGGCGCTGCATGTGTATATGCCTACACATGCTCTCTCTCGAGTTAATAGCAAATAAAGTACTTTTAAAAAGTGAAAATGGTTTGTTTTGTTTTTTTGTTTTTTTTTTCAAGACAGGGTTTCTCTGTGGCTTTGGAGACTGTCCTGGAACTTGCTCTGTGGACCAGGCTGGCCTCGAACTCACAGAGATCCACCTGCCTCTGCCTCCCGAGTGCTGGGATTAAAGGCGTGTGCCACCAACGCCCGGCTAATGAGTGAAAATTAAAAGGGGTAACTGTTGTTAATTATGGAACCAGGGCCGGCAGACAGACATGACAGAGAGAGAGGAAGATGAGAGAGAAGAGATGATGAGTAAGAGAAGGTGAGAGATGGGGGGGGAGAGAGAGAAAGTGGGGGGGTCTGTTCTTTTAAAGGGGTCTTTGCACCTGCGTGCAGACTGGTTCTCATGGAACTCCGGGCTGGCCAGAGTGCTGCCTGAGTGCATCCTGCCAGGTAACAGGGCAGGCCAGCGTAATGCCCGAACCTTTCATTCCCACCTTTATTTATGATTAAAAAGAGGTGGGGGTGTTAGACTTGGCAGGTTAGGGGATAAGAACATTGAGTTCTTAAGACTGCTTCCTGCTGACCTGCGGGGCGGCGACCATCTTTGGGAGAAGCTGTACGAGATGGCTAACAGGTAAAGGCTCTTGCTAAGTCTAACAACCCAAATTCAATGCCCAGGACCCACAGGTGGGAGGAAACCATCTCCCTGAAGTTGTCGACTGTTCCCCACCCACGTTGCACGCACGTGCCCCTCACCCACACTCAGACAAATAAACAGATGTAATTACATTTTAAAAAATAATTAAAGAGAGAGTAGAAGTAAACTGAAGCCTGGGCTTGAACAAGACTACCTCTGAGGAGGGAGCCTGCGCAGCCTCAGAGGGCCGGCTGAAACTACAACTCCCGGCCTCCTTTGGGCGGGTAAAGGCGGATGGCCTCACGGGATTGGTCCTTCCTTCCTTCGTGGGGCGGGGCTTGAGAGGAGGCCGGCTTTGCACAGCTGCCGGTGGAGACCGCGGCAGGTAGGCGGAAACTGCCGAGGCGGGCGGGGAGCGCCGAAGGGGCGCGCAGGAACGTCTGGCGGCCATGGCGGCCCCAGGGCCCGCGAGTCGCTCCTGGTGCTCGTGTCCCGAGGTGCCCTCCGCCACGTTCTTCACCGCCCTGCTCTCGCTGCTGGTGTCGGGGCCCCGCCTGTTCCTGCCGCAGTCGCCTCTGGCGCCTTCGGGGCTGTCGCTGCGCTCCGAGGCCCTGCGCAACTGGCAAGGTGAGCCGCGCCCGGGCGGGGATGGCGCGCTCCCTCGGCCCGGGGACCCCCACGTGCCCCTCACTGCCAGCAGACCCCCAGCCTCCGTGCCCATCGGTGCTCTCCACACTGGAGCTCAGGCATGGCTTGTCCAAAGCCTCACCGTCGTTTTCGCCAGCTCCTTCCCCTACCCAGAATTGCCCCCATGCATGTCACCGCAGACCCGTCCGTCCCTTCCTGCGCCCCTCAGGGTCATGCATGCAGACCCGCACCTGCCGAAAGGCCTGAGCCAGCCCCGCAGGAGCACAACAAGCGGCTCTCACCTCCATCGTGACCATGGGACTTCGTCACTTGTCACACACACACACACACACCCGTGAATGGGTTTTCCTCGTGAGCCTAGAATTTCCTGCTGCGTCTTTCCCTTAATCCCCGACTAAGGAGGAAAGGGGCCGTATTCTGCCCCTGATAAAGTATTTGTTTCCTCAGGGCAGATAAATTCCTCAGCCCAATTAAGTCTGTAATCATCCTTTTGTACAAGACAGCATTCCTGGTCTTTATTTCTTTCTCATTGTTTCCTGGGAAATCCCTGTTGCTCCCGATGTAATCCTCACAGCGATTTCATGACAATATTAAATTGCCTCTGTTTACCAGAAATTGAGACTGAACACAGAGAGTCACGGAGCTAATGCATCATAATATTGAGACGGTAACCCAGCTTTTTGTTTTTAGTATGCTGTTTAGAACTAAGGTTTGGATATATGATTCCCATGTTTTTTTTTTGTTTTTTTTTTTGTTTTTTGTTTTGGTTTTTCGAGACAGGGTTTCTCTGTGGCTTTGGAGGCTGTCCTCTTGTAGACCAGGCTGGCCTCGAACTCACAGAGATCCGCCTGTCTCTGCCTCCCGAGTGCTGGGATTAAAGGCGTGCGCCACCAACGCCCTGCTAAAACTGAAACTTTTTGATTTGTGTTGGATACATGTAGCACTTCTTACAGTCAGCTAAGTGCCGGCCAAGATGAGGTTCACACCCTCTTTTTTTTTTTTCATTTGGAACAGGGTCTTGCTATTTATTTAGACCAGAATGGCCATACTCACTGAATAGTCCAGGCTGGCCTCAAGCCCGTGATCCTCCTGCCTCAGCCTTCTGAGTCCTAGGACACAGACCTGCATCACATCACATGGGCTTAGCCCTGTTTGTGCGAGTGTGGGATTCATGAACGGGTAGAGATACGGGACCCTTGGAGGTCTTGGGTTTGGCCTGTTACTTCAGTGAGGCGATTGCAGCTGTGAGGGTGTGCACGTTGGATTTAACTGAGCCCAGGCAGCCCTGGTTATAATAAACCAAGATGCCCTCAAGTCTTACACTCCTAAGGACACTGTCACTTCCTCTGTCTCTCCTAGGTTAAGGTTTCAGCCCACAGAGGTAAGTAAATTAGAGAGCCAGGCGTGGTAGAGTGTGTCCTTAATCCCAGCCCTCGGCAGACAGAGGCAGGTGAGTCTCTTATGAGCTCGAGGCCAGCCTGATCTACATAGTGAGTTTGAGGCCAGCCAGTGATACATAGTGAGTCTCTGTCTCAAATAAACAAACAAAAAAAGTACATTAGAGCCCTGTAAGGTGGCTCAGCAGGTAAAGTCACTTGCCACCAATCATTAGAACTGCAGTTTGGTCTCTAGGACCTACATGGTGGAACGGACTCCTTCAGGTTTTCCTCTGAACTCCACAGGGGTGCTATGGACCCCATTCACGCCATCTCGTGTACCCACAAATAAATAAAGATACATTTTTAAAATTATATATGTTAGTAATAACTTTTATTTAGAAAAGATAAAGGTATAAACCAAATAGGATGGCAGACGCTTGTAGTCCCAGCTCTCAGAGGCTGGGGCTGGCCAGCCTGGGGTACGTATCAAAACCTTGTCTCAAAAAAAAAAAAAAGAAAGAGAAGAGAAAAAAAAACCCAAAAAGGCCAAGTATGATAGTATGATGACTTACAGCTATAATCCTGACTTTCAGGAAACAAGAGCCACCCTGGTCTATATAGCAATTTATAGGCTACATAGTGAAACCGTGTCTCACGACAGAGAGAAGGACTTTGCTATCTCATGGCATATAAACCTTGACTCACCTGTAAAACTGGAAAAGCGCTCTTAGAAAGGACTTGTAATTTCTCTGTATTGTTAATGGTAATGCCATAGTCCTTATAAACCCAAAATTATTCATGATTCCTGTTTTCTGCCCCTGAACAGCCTCTGGAAGGAGAGGCCAGAATTATAGCTGAGGAGTCAAGCATGCTCTGTTAAGTGACACTCGGTCTACCCCAAAGCTGTTACAATTAATGAACCCTCAGACTGCCAGTCTAAACTCTGAGGGCTGCAGAGATGGCTTAGCAGTTAAGAGAGCTTGCTGCTCTTACAGAGGACCCAAGTTTGGTTCCCAGCACCCACACGGGGCAGCTGCCAGCTCCAGGGGACCCAGCGCACTCTACTGGCCTCCGTAGGCACCTGTGCACAGGTGGCATGCAGACACACACACACACACACAGAGCAGATCTTTAAAAGAAAATCTAAGATAATGTTATAAAGCATTTGGCAAGTTCAGAAAAAGCTATCTTTTTCACACATAGAAACTGGTCTTGACAGCCTTTGGTCCAGGGCCAGGAAAGAATGGAGACTACATTATATGCACATACATGCTTTGAGTCATGAGCATTGCCCCTGATAACCCTGGCTCCAAGGCCAGGAAGGAACGGATATTGTTATATCCTTAGGCCCTGAATGGGGAACACTACTCTTCACTTTTCCTGTTCTGTTTTTATTTATTTTTGAGACAGGGTCCCGTGTAGACTGCTGGCTCCAAACTCACAGTGTAGCCAAAAATGACCCTGAACTCCTGAGGGCTGGGCCCTCGGCACCTCCACTTCCTGTGTGCGGTGCCGGAATGGACACTGGGACTTTGCTAGGCAGGCAGGCACCCTGCCCACTGAGCTGCAGCCTCAGCCGCGGGGCGCCCGTCCCAAGCTGGCCTGGGGCTCAGCTGCCCTGGTTGGAGCAGCGCTGCGTTGCACCGTTAACTGGAACCCATCCTCAGTTTACAGGCTGGTGACCTACATCTTCGTCTACGAGAGCCCTGTCTCCCTGCTCTGCGGCGCCGTCATCATCTGGCGCTTTGCCGGCAACTTTGAGAGGACCGTGGGCACCGTCCGCCATTGCTTCTTCACGCTGATCTTCACCGTCTTCTCCGCCGTCATCTACCTGTCGTTCGAGTCCGTGTCGTCGCTGTCCAAGCTGGGGGAGGTGGAGGACGCCCGGGGGTTCACCCCCGTGGCCTTTGCCATGCTGGGCGTCACCTCGGTGCGCTCCCGCATGAGGCGGGCCCTGGTGTTCGGGGTGGTGGTGCCTTCCGTGCTCGTGCCCTGGCTGCTGCTGTGTGCCTCCTGGCTCATCCCTCAGACCTCCTTCCTGAGTAACGTCTCTGGCCTTCTGATCGGCCTGTCGTGTATCCTTTCCGGAAGGGCACTGCCGAGAGACGCTACGCCACAGGGCAAACCCTCGTGAGGGTTGTGGGGGGCGTGCCAGGTACACGGTCTCAGGCTCTTACACAAGCAGTCTGCGTTTGGCTCCAGCTTGGAAAACCTCGGAGCCATGGGCAGCTCTCCTCCGCTCCCTGGTCCAGCACTCATCAGGAAAATGCAAATATGGTTGCCTGCTCAGGCCAGCTCAGCACAGTCTGTTAGCAGTTTAAGCTTAATTATACTGGCCTGACCTTTTTTTTTTTGTAAACTGAGGTGTAATCTACTCAGCTAACTTTAGTGTGAAGCTTCACGGGAAGAGGGCCAGGAAGATGGCGTTGTCAGTAAAGCATTTGTGCAAGCTTGAGGACAAAAGTCATAGCCCTGGAACTTAAACCCGGGTCCCTGTGCTGCAGAGGTGGACACGGGCCCACCAGCCTCACCTAGTGTGATAAGTTCCAGATCAAGTGAGAGACACTAATTCCTGAGGACCAACACCTGGCCTCCGCACACAGGCGCTCACACAGTGTTCATTGGAAGAGTCGAGACACCTGGAGATGTTCGTGAACCAGTTAAGAAGCAGACCTGGGCTTGATGAGATTTTTGTTCTGTTTTTGCTGGGTTAAGAGTATTAAGCTCAGGCCCGGCGTTCATGGCCCACGCCTTTAATCCCAGCACTTGGGAGGCAGAGGCAGGCGGATCTCTGTGAGTTCGAGGCCGGGCTGGTCCGACAGCCTCCAAAACAATACAGAGAAACCCTGTCTCATAAAACCAAAAAAAAAAAAAAAAAAAAGAGTATTAAGCTCAGGGCATTGGGCATGGTTAATAAGCACTCTACCACTGAACTACACCCCAGCCCTTAATTTTCTTTTTTCTCAGAGGGAAAGGGGTTGTGTAACAGGGTCTTGTTATATGGCCCAGGCTAGGCTCAATACCTCAGTTTCCTAACTATTAGGATTGTTGTCACTCACCACCATATCTGGTTCCACACCCCAGTTATAAATTTCTTGGTGTGCACTTTTGTTTTTAGATTTATTTTTACTCATGGACAAGTCTGTGGACATGTACACCTGCATGCTGGCATGTGAGGAGGGCCAGAAGAGGGCGGCGAGCCCCCTGGAGCTGGAGTACAGATTGTGGTGAGCTGCCGTGTGGGCGCTGGGAACTGAACTTGGATCCTCTAGAAGAGCAGTTTGCACACCTAACTATGAAGCCATCTTTAGATTCCCCTACCCTCTAAAGGTAACTTCTTTTTGAGACAGGGTCTCACTATGTAGCCCTAGATGTCCTGGAACTCTCTATGTAGAGCAGGCTGGCCACAAACTCAGAGGTCTCTGCCTCCTGAGCGCTGGAATCAAAGGTGTGGGTGTGTACACCACACTGAGTTTGCCTCTTGTAGTTTTGGGGCAAGGTGTAAGATAGGGCAGTTGGGTCTGGAGCTGACTGAGGCAGAAGACTGAAGCCAATCCCCCAGCTTCTAGAGTAGCTAGGATTATAGCCTGATTATTACCATAACTATCCATTTTAGGCAGGGCTGGGGATCCAATGTAGGCCCTGTGATATATCAGCCTGGTCAAGTTCCTACATGGCCAGCATTACCCTTATCTAGCAATAAGGGATTGAGCCTCCTTAACTTAGGAAATGTTTTGAACATTTGCACAACACAAATGGAACATTCTGCACCTGGCCTGACCATAATCGAAGTAAGAACATGGATGCACCCAAAATACTGTGTACAATCACCTCAGGCTATGTGAGTACAGGTGAAATGTAAGTAGGTTTGCCATGCATATGCAAGTGTTCAAATAACCCCGTAAGGCCTGAGATATTTCACCCAAATTATTTTGGTAAGGAATACTCAACCTGTACTTACCCCCTGCTGCAGGCATAAAATAGATGCTTAGTGGATATTCATAAATATTTACTGAAGGGTGGCAAGTAAGGTGGCCCTGTGGTAAAGGTGATTGCTTCTAAGCCATGTGCATGTATACACATACAGAATAAATGTTTGTTGAAGGATATATGGAACAGGCTCTAACCTTTGTAGTTATGGAGGCAGTGGTGGACCAAAACAAAGATGGTGACTACATGGAGAAAATGCTTCTTCCAGAGATGCCATATTGAACCGTGCCATGGTGGTCCATGCCTTTTAATCCCAACACTCAGGAGGCAGTGGCAGATAGATCTCTGAGTTCAAGACCAGCCTGGTCTACAGAGCTACACAGAGAAATCCTGTCTCAAAAAGCCAAAAGAGAATGACTAGTGACCCATGGCAGTGGTCGGGAGGCCCAGGAGGTACATTGTGAATTCTTTTTGTTTTTGTTTTTGTTTTTTTGTTTTTTTTGATACAGGGTTTCTCTGTGGCTTTGGAGGCTGTCCTGGAACTCGCTCTGTAGACCAGGCTGGCCTCGAACTCACAGAGATCCGCCTGCCTCTGCCTCCCGAGTGCTGGGATTAAAGGCGTGCGCCACCAGCGCCCGGCTCCATTGTGAATTCTAACGCACACCACGCATTGTCCCTGTGAGGTGTGTGGCTGGGGATACCCACGTCTCTGCAGAGACCGATGCGCATACCTGTGCCTCCCAGGGGCTGGGTCCTCAGGGCGCGTCAGCTGCCTGTGTCTTGCTGCCTTCAATTTTACTTAATACACCCGCCTCAGATGGACTCACCTACTGCTACTCCCTCGACCTCTCTGAGCGAGTAGCTCTGAAGCTTGATCAGAAGTTCCCCTTCAGTGCCATGAGGAGGGTTCCCCTGTTCAAGTACATCTCAGGTTCTTCTGCTGAAAGAAGAGCAGCACAGAGCCGGAAGTAAGTGATGGAGCCCCCGCCCGTTTGGTCATTGCTGGGGTCCAGCCCAAGGCCTTTCCCAGGCTAGTCAGGTGCTCTGTCACTGTGCTGCCACCCACCCCCGCCGTTGGTTTTTTGAGTCAGAAACCCAAGGTCAGCTTTGAACTTGGGAGGCTCTTGTCTGTTCTTCTCAGATAGCAGGCTGTAGATTTAATCCCACAGCTGGCTCTCAGTCTCATTCCAAGAGCAACTGCAGAGCATGGTAAAGGGTGTGGTTCATCTTGGTTGGTTCATCTTGGAGGGTAAAGGAGGGGGAGCACAGTTTCTCAGCTCTCTGCAGTGAAGGGTTGTAGTTCTAGCTCAGCACCTGCCTAGAATCCCCCAGTGAGGGGCTGGGGTGTGGCTCAGTGGTAGAGCACCTGCCTAGAATCCCCCAGTGAGGGGCTGGGGTGTGGCTCAGTGGTAGAGCCCCTGCCTAGAATCCCCCAGTGAGGGGCAGGGGTGTGGCTCAGTGGTAGAACACCTGCCTAGAATCCCCCAGTGAGGGGCTGGGGTGTGGCTCAGTGGTAGAGCACTTAATCTAATCCATGGGAGGCCTTGGGTTCTAGCACTGCAAATAAGGAAAGAAAATCAGTGTACAAATTTCTTCTGAACCCTGCTGCTGCCCTGTGTGAAAAGGAACCAAGCATGAGTGGCAGAAGACGGACACTTGCATGTACTTCTGAGCAATTCGAGAGATAATCGTCTTAACACTGCTTAGTCAGCAAATGCTCTCCAGGTAGCACTGGGCTATGGCAGTTAGCCATGCTTGGACAGTCTGCTCAGTAGGTGACAGGGCAGGAAGACCTGAAAGGAGTCTCTTAGCTCCCCCAAAGGAAAGTGTCTTAGCTCCCTAATAAGAGCAGGTAAGACTGACTTTTTTTTCCAGTCCAGGCTTGTTTGCTCTTAAAAACTGCTAGGCAAGCGCCAGAGCTTATGTGTCCTCACACCTTCTTTATAGAGAAGGCTAAAGAGGACATGTGTTCCCAGGTGACAGTCCAGGAAGGAGCCTGCTGTGACCTAGGGTCTCCTTCCCAGCTCTGACTGCGGGGTGTTTCCACTCCCAATGTCCGCAGCAAGCTTGGTTGAACTGGAACTACTTGGTTTGGGTTCTGTGCTATTTGGTGTGTGTGTGGGGGTGTGGGTGTGGGTGTGTGTGGGTGTGTGGGTGGGTGTGGGTGTGTGTGTGGGTGTGTGTGGTGTGTGTGTGTGTGTAGGGGACAGTGTGTGTGTGTGTGTGGGTGTGTGGGTGTGGGTGTGTGGGTGTGGTGTGTGTGGTGTGTGGGTGTGGGTGTGGTGTGGGTGTGGTGGGTGTGGTGTGGGTGTGTGTGTGGTGTGGGTGTGTGTGTGTAGGGGACAGTGTGTGTGGGTGTGTGTGGGTGTGGTGTGGTGTGGTGTGTGTGTGTGTGGTGTGGTGTGTGTGTGTGGGTGTGGGTGGGTGTGGTGTGTGTGGTGTGGTGTGTATGTGTGTGTGGTGTGGTGTGTGTGTGGGTGTGGTGTGGGTGTGGTGTGGGTGTGGTGGGTGTGGTTTATCTGTGGACAGAGTGTCCATAGCCCAGTCCTTCCTCAATAGCTGTTTAGCCAAAATGGCCCTGAATTTCTGATGCTGCTGCCTCATCTCAGTGCTGGGGATTACAGGTGTGCACCAATATGCTCGGTTTATGTAGTACTGGGCATGGAACCCAGGGCTTGTTCCTTTTGAGCAATTTTTAAAGCTGAGGAAGAAGCAGGGCTTGGGAGGCACTGAGGCAGGAGGATTTGGAGTTGGAGGCCAGTCCGAGCTACAAAGTGAAAGCCACCTCCGTTCACCACATCTGCAGAAGGCAAGGGCTGTGTCCGTGGCTAGCGGTAGAGTGTGTGCCTAGCATGGTCCGTGGCTAGCGGTAGAGTGTGTGCCTAGCATGCGAGCGTCCCCTGTGTGTCACAAGTCCTAACTCACTCACTCAGTCCTGGTGGATGCAGCTGCCGCGGGGAGCCAGAAGGACTTCTGCTCTGAGTTAACTTGGCTGCTGGGAAGGAGTGAGGCGGGTACCCTTTGTGTCCCTCTCTTCCCTGTTCCTCACGTGACTGGTGGGAGCTCGTTGCCAAGACTGGCTGCAGGCACCAGAACAGAACATGATGTTTCCGGTGTCCTAACAGTCACCTAGAGTATTACGACAGGACACCTGAGCTGCCGTGTGGACAGTTTTGTCTCTGGGTCTGTAAGGACATCTGCCACCAAGTCTGAGGGCCTGAGATATGTCCCTGGTACCCACATGGTAGAGAAAGAGCTGACTCCTGAATGTTCTCTGACACACGCACACCCCAACCACCCACACAGAGAAACTACACACATACATACAAGCACGCATGCACACACACACACACACACACACACACACAAATAGAAACTCATTTTAATAAGAAAGTAATACACATCTTTAATCCCAGCACTCGGGAGGCAGCAGCAGGTAATCCCTGTGAGTTTGAGGTCTGGCCGGTCTACATAGAGAGTTCCAGGCTGCCTAAGACTTTAGTGAGACTCTGTCTCCAAAGAAAAGGAAAGGGAGGGAGCTGTCCCAGGAGCTGAGTGGGCTAGTGAGCTGGGCTGGAGATCAGGGCTGGACACGTACTAAGCAGGTCTCCACTGAGCCACGCCCCAGCCCTGTATTTGTGTGGGAGCTCACCAACCTAGTTGGTGACACGGCTCCTAAAACTGAGGTGGACTAAAGTCTCATGCGATAGCCAGCTTCTTTAACAACAGGCAGTTTATACCTGAGGGCTAAGAAGAATCATGAGCAAGGTGTTCAGTCACAGGGACAAGCCACGCGTGGCATTTTTCCATGGAGGCATGGGTAACACCAGCTGATGTGGCTCACTGCTGCCTGCTACACCTGGGAGGAGCATGCAGACAGAGTCCAAGGGTAGTTCTGTGTACTGAAGAAACTTGTCTCACAGTACTCAGAGTTCTCACGTGTTCCTACATGCGTGCACTCTTACCTAGTACGCATCAATCCCTAGATTGGATCCTGAGCACTACACAGGTGGGGTGTGGTGACTCATGCCTGTAACCTAAATGTTCTGGAGGGACAGGGAGGATCTGAAGTTCAAGGTCATTCTTGGGTTTTTTTGTTTGTTTTTTGTTTTTCGAGACAGGGTTTCTCTGTGGCTTTGGAGGCTGTCCTGGAACTTGCTCTTGTAGATCAGGCTGGTCTTGAACTCACAGAGATTCTCCGGCCTCTGCCTCCCGAATGCTGGGATTAAAGGCGTGCGCCACCACTGCTCGGCTGTCTCAAGGTCATTCTTAGCTACATTGATGATTGGAGAAAGAGACATGTACATACACCTGCCCCACCTCCCACTTCCCCTACCCCTGCCAATCGATCTTCCTCCTCCCCTGAAACCTGCTGCTGGCCGTGGCCCCATCCATGCTGTCATCTCGGAAAATGACATAGTGTGCCTTGTCCCTGCCAGCAGAATGACTGTTTCTTCTCTTACTCCTTTCCAGGCTGAACCCTGCACCCGGCTCCTACCCCACACAGAGTTGCCACCCTCATCTGACCCCAAGTCACCCTGTCACCCAGATGCAGCATGCCAATAACCAGAAACTAGCCTCCTGGCCTCCCGGTCACATGCCCAGCCTGCCTCCATACCAGCCTGCTTCTGGCCTGTGTTATGTGCAGAACCACTTTGGTCCTAACCCCAATGCCTCCAGTGTGTACCCAGCTCCTGCAGGGACCTCCCAGGGGCTACAGCCTCCCTCCTCCATCAGTTGTCCTGGCACTGTGTATTCTGGGGCCCTGGGTACCCCAGGGGCTACTGGCTCCAAGGAATCATCCAAGGTCGCCATGCCCTAGCCAGTCTGCAGAAAAGGCACATTGGGCAGAGAAAGGTCTACCCGAGCGAGGAATGTCTTAAGAGTTATTTATTGAAGCCAGGGCGTGCTGGCCTGTCATCCCGCTGCTTGGAAGGTCAAGGTCTGTCTGGGCTCCAGAGCAGTTTCAAGGCCAGCCTAGGCTGTGTATATCACAAGACTCTATATTAAAACTAATAAAAATAGGTGGGCCTGGGGCACTGTGGTAGAGTGTTTACCTAGAATAGTCATCAGCTCCACAAAGGAAAAAAAAAGGATTATTTATTAAATACCTCTGTTGAGTACTTCCATAAATGTCCCTATATATCTGTGTCGTCTCCCCTCAAGGCAGCTCTATGAAGTAAAGTTTACTGGCCCAGCTTTCAGACACAGGAAATAAAACTGGGTGTGGCGAGCCATGCCTGTAATCAGCTGTGATCAAGGCGGGATGGGACGTTGAAGGTCGTCCCCAGCTACTAAGTGGGTCTGAAGCCAGCCACCGCCTACGTGAGGAGTAGGACAGCCTGGGATCCCATGGAGTCTGAGGCTCTGCAACCCCTGCTGGAAAGTGCGGTTGTCATCGGCACCCGTGGGTCCTTGCTGGTGTCTGGTGTGCCTGGGACAGTCTGTGACATCGTCTTCCCCTCCAGCCCTCCCTGTCCTGACTTCTGCCAGGCAGTGGTGACCTGCAGCAGCGTGCTGGTGGTCCTTGCTGTGAGTTAACCTTCATATAAACCAGCCTCCAACCTGCCAGTGGTGTGTGGGTTCTTTGTGTCGGTCCGGGGTGGGAAGTGATTGGAACAACAGGAATGGGTGCGGTGACAAAAAGGACCCCTGTGCTCAGGGATCGGCGGCGGTGGGGGCCTGACTCGGGAAGTGGGTAGAAGACGTGAGGAAGAAATGTGTATGATCAACCCGGAACTGGGTACAACAAGGGGCTAGCCTGGGGCAACTTAGACTCTGTCTCAAAAAACTTGGGTTTTGTTTTGTTTAATAAAAATAAGCGGCTATGGTGGCACATGTCTTTAATCTTAGTACTTGGAGGTGGAGACAGCGGATCCCTGAGTTTGAAGCCTTCCCAGTCTACAGACAGCTCCAGGACGCCCAAGTGCACTCAGTGAGACCTTGTCTCTGAAAATACAGGAGTTGAGGAGAGTGGCGCCTGCCTTCTCCCACAGCACTCAGAGGCAGAGCGCTCGGGCAGATCTCTAAGGTCAGCCTGGTCTGCGTGACCCGTCCTGGAGCTGGGCGTGTGGCTGGTGGCAGAGTGCATGTCTAGCCTACGAGTGGCCCTGGCTTCCACCTCCAGCACTGGGCTGGAAAGCACGCTACTTGCTCAGGTGTTTTAGAATGTAGCACAGCATTCGCTTCCAGGAGCTGCTCTGGGCTGCATCGGAGGGGTCCTAGGTATTCCAATACAGATGACTTCCTGCCCCAGACTGCTCCTCCAGAGACCGTAGTCTGAAGATGGGCACACCCGACTGTCCTTGTGAAACTCAAGCCAACAGAAGCCAGCACGGCGTGACTGAAGATGGAACTTCGTGATCTGGATAAGGAAAGTGAGTTCACAGTCAAGGAACCAGGTGCCCAGGTGGCATCTAGGCTTCAGTGAAGACACAGCTGGAATCTGATAGGACCCAGAGCTTTGGGCTCCAGCCATACCTGGCATTTTACCTGTAGTGGCGCCTCCTAAGTACAGACATGTGTGCTCCTAGGCATGGTTCCTCCCCCTCCCCCCCCTCCAGACCCAGAAAGGGTGTGATAGGTACTTGTAGTGTGGAGAGGTTTGTGTGTCCATGGTTGGTTTCTCTGCCTTCCTCCATAAGGTGGCTCACTGGATACAGCTGCAAATGCCAAGCACCATGCTTCCCTGGCAGCAAGGCTATAAGAATTGTGGGATCATCTTGGATCCCCCCGCCACTGGCTTTCCTAATGGGCTCCCAGTATGCGGAAGACTCGGTAGCAGACAGCAGCAGGGTCAGACTCAAACTTCCTACACCAACTGCCCTGCACTGACTTGCTGCCCCTAGACCTCTGTTCCCTGGACGTTTCCATGGTCTGGAACCAACACACGGGCAACCTGGAGCTAAGCCAGAGTGTGTCAGTCTGTTTCTTAGAGCCTGCCCGTAGGCTGCCATTGACTTGCTCTGCAGGCAGCCTTCACCTTGCATTCACTGCAAATCTGCCTCGCCTGGGCTCTGGGCTGCAATCTCAGAGAATGGAGTCTTTCCTTCTCTAGGTCCAAAAGCAACACCTGGATGGGGGTGAAGGGGGGGCGGCGAGACTTGCAGTCTGACCTGAACTATAATTTGTCTCTGTGGATAGCCTCCAGCTGCATGGATTCCACAAGACCCCCTAGGGCCTGTGGCATCCCAGCCCTCTCCTATTTGCCAAGTCACGTGTCCTGTGGCTGACCCCAGGCTGGGGTCAGAGACATGCCATGAAAACATGTGCAGGGCACACGAGTGCAAGCCTGTCACTCAGTGTTTGTCAAACAAAAGTCTGCGTGACCCTGCCCGGGCTGCTCAGAACAGTGAGGAAATGGATAAATAAAAAACTGTTGGCTGGGCGGGCGGTGGTGGCGCACGCCTTTAACCCTAGCACTCGGGAGGCAGACGCAGGAGCATCTCAGTTTGAGGCCAGCCTGGTGTACATAGCGAGTTCCAGGACAACCAGGGCTACACACAGAAACCCTGGCTCAAAAAATCAAAAAAAAAAAATTGCTGAAAGCTGGGGAGGTAGCTCAGTGGGTAAAGTGCTTGCTGGCCAAGCCTGAGGACCTGACTTCGGATCCCCACACTCCATTAAAAAACAACAACATACAGAGGGAGTTCCAGGACAGCCTCCAAAGCCACAGAGAAACCCTGTCTCAAAAAACAACAACAAACAGGCATGACCATGTGTCCCTGTAACCTAGTCCTTTGAGGGAGATTCCTGGAACCAGCTGGCTGGCCAGCCTACCCAGAACTGTGAGCTCCAGTTTCAGTGAGGGGCCCCGAAGGGTGAAGAGCGATTGGAGGTACCCTCACATCACCCTCAGGCCTCAAGTGCCCACATTGGTGAACACGCCTACAAATGCATGAACAAACGCATGTACTGTCGGGTACAAAAGAATTGTCAGGGGGTTGGTGGTGTAGCTCAGTGGTATAGGACATATCTAGCAAGGTCAGTTTCGGGACTGGAGAGATGGCTCAGTGGTTAAGAGCTCTGGCTGCTCTTGCAGAGGACCCAGGTTTGATTCCAGCACCACAAGAGAGCTCACAGCTGTCTGCAACTCCAGTTCCAGGGGATCTGAGTCCCTCACACATACGTGCAGGTGAAACACCAATGCACATAAAAAAAAAAAAAAAGCTCAGTTTCATCCCAGCACTGAAGGGGAAAATAGAATTCACCTGATACAGATGCCTTTAATTCCAACGATAAGGGAGGATGAAACGAGTTTTTTTGTTTGTTTTGTTGTTTGTTTGTTTTTTTAAAGATAAGAGTGAAGGTTATTCTATTTTATTTGCATTGGTGTTTTTCGGGCATGTCAATGTTGAGGGTATCAGATTTGTAGCTACGGGCAGTTGTGAGCTGCCATGTGGGTGCCGGGAATTGAACCCAGGTCCTCTGGAAGAGCAGTCCGTGCTCTTAACCTCCGAGCCTTCTCTCCAGCTCCTGTTGTTTGTTTTTTCAAGACAGGATTTCTCTGTATTGTTTTGGAGCCTGTCCTGGAACTTGTTCAGTAGACCAGGTTAGCCTCGAACTCATAGAGATCTGACTGTCTCTGCCTCCTGAGTGCTGTGATTAAAGGCATGCGCCACCACTATCCAGCAAAACAGGAGGATTTCAAGAACCAGAGATTCGGGGGCTTTCTAACTCTTGCAGGAAAGGAAAAACCTTGACCTCCGTTCCCTCGCTGCACTCAAACCTCTACCCCTCAGCCCACATCCCCTCCCCAGCCAAGGCAGGACCAACCAGCCAGGATGCTTGCAGACTTCCACTCGCCCAGCCTGCCAGCTGGGGGCTGCAGAGCGGCAGACTCGTGCCCCACAGTCGGCCTGTCTTCCCCAGGACAGGCAGTGCTCTGGGGCTGCTGGAGGAGAAGTCCCAACCCCTGCTCCAGCTTCAGACACAGGGAAACCGATCTCCCGATGGAGAATACAAGGTAAGGGAGACAGGAGTTGAGCCAGTAGCCAGAAATGGTAAGGCAGGCATGCAGTCAGGGCCAGGCAGGCAAGAAGGTGGAGAGAAGGGAAGCCAGCCAGGTCCAGGCTCAGGCAGGGGACCAGGCAGGTGGGAGACGAAGCCTTGGACACATGACTGTGGTCGCACGCGATGGTGACAGAGCTGAAGGTCTGGGTTATCAGTCTTGGAGTCAAGGCCTCCTTCCTGTCTATAGGTACCTACTGCACACTCAGGTGAGTGGCATTGTCAGCCTGGCCAGAGCGAAGCAGCCTAAGGCTGTTCCCTTAGTCAGTGAGGGATCTACAGTCATGCAGAAACCGCATCCTTGCCAGGCAGTGGTGGCGCACGCCTTTAATCCCAGCAGAGGCAGGCGGATCTCTGAGTTCGAGGCCAGCCTGGTCTACAGAGCGAGTTCCAGGACAGCCTCCAAAACAATACAGAGAAACCCTGTCTCGAAAAACCAAAACAAACAAACATAAAAGCAGGCTGAGCAAGCCTGGGGAAGCCAGCCAGTAAGCAGCTCTCTCCATGGCCTCGTATCAGCTCCTGCCTGCAGGCTCCTGTCTCGCTTGAGCTCCTGTCCTGACCTCCGTCAGTGATGGACAGCAATGTGGAGGGTTAGCTGAGAACCCTGTCCTCCCCAGCTTGCTTTTTGTTGTTGTTTCGAGACAGGGTTTCTCTGTATTGTTTTGGAGGCTGTCCTGGAACTCGCTCAGTAGACCAGGCTGGCCTTGAACTCACAGAGATCCTCCTGCCTCTGCCTTCCAGGTGCTGGGGTTGAAGGCGTGAGGCACTGTCTTGTTTGTTATCCTGGCAATTTACTGGGACAGCCTGAGCTTGAAGATTCACACACTTGGTTAGAGCTCGGTTTCTTCAGCCCACAGGAGCTCTCCACACAGCTCACATAAATGTCAAGGCCCACAGCACCCAGAAGCCTGAGGCCTGTCCAGACGGTGCTCGGTCTTTCAGACTCATAGGCTTTCTCCCTAGCCCCCGCCCTCCCGCCCCCACCATCTCACTTACTCTTCCTCACTCCCTGACACACTCATTCACCCCACAGCATTCCACTGGTTCATTCCCACACCCTGACACACTCACATAGTCCACACTTCATCCCTCCCTCACTCCTTACACACTCCATCACCCCACCCTCCCTTTATCCTATTCGTCCCCTCATCTAGTGCATACAGACTCCCTCAGAGCCCGTGAACCCCCCAGCTCACCGAGGTCTGGTTCCGGTTCAGCCTGGCAAGGGCAACAGGAGGCCTAGCTCGGGGAGAAGTCACTGCCTCCCCCGGGGTGGGACACAGCCGAGAGCTGTCAGCCAGGCCTGACCTGACAGTGCCATAGGAGACCACGCAGGGCCAGCAAGGAGTGGCCCAGGGTGGCAGGCCATGTAGACCACCCCAGAGGCTTAGGCTGGATCCCTTTTGTGTCAGAGATCATTGTGAGGTTTCTCTACTTGTCCTCTTGAGGACCCTACAGGGGCCGGGAGGCTGAGCCCAATCTCCCACGACTGTCTAACTCTTTGGGTCACACACTGCTGGCTGACCTAGGTGTTCACACACAGAAATGTCTGCCAAGGGAGAGTCAGGCCTCACGAGGGGAGCCTGCTATGGACCAGCCGCCCCTCTGTCCTGGTGAGTGGCCGGGACATGGGGCATTCCTGTGGCCAGCGGGGCCCGTGTGTCTCATGCTTGTTCTTCCCTGTCCTACAGGTGTGACCCATCAGCTCCCCCCCCAAAGGTTCGTATAAAGATAGCCTTCCAGGGGAGCCCCAGAAGGACAGACTTCAGGTGGCACACCCGCCTCTCTTAAGGAACAAAGTTTGTCATCAGTCCCAGTGTCCCAAGGGGCCTACCAGGGAAGGACAGCTGCCTGTTGTCTTGATGCCCATGCACGCACGCACGCACGCACGCACACAGGTCAGGGGACATCGCAGCCCGTGGCTGTTCTCCCCGGAAGGGAAGTCTCCTGAGCAGTGGACGAGCGGCCTGTCCATGTGTACCCTGTCATTACCTGGTGGCAGAGATGGAAGGAGGGACAAGGGAAGGCTCTGGACCTTTCCAGGGGAGACTTGGAGAGAGCGAGTGAAGACCTAAGAACAAGCTGCAGTCGAAATCCCTGGGAGCCCAGGAAGCAAAGGGGAGAGTGTGGGTGTAAACTGTGCCCTGCCAAGAGTCTTAATGAGGGAGCAGGGCGCTGACAGTCCAGTGCCCACACCAAACAGAATCCCTCCCTCCTTCCCTGCCTCCCTCCCTCCCTTCTTCCCTCCCTCTTCCTCCCTCCCTCCTCCCTCCCTCCCTCCCCCCTCCCTCCCTCCCACCCTCACTCTTCCTTCCTTCCTTTTTTCCTTCCTCCCTCCCTCCCTCCCTCCCCTCTCCCTCCCTCCCTCCCACCCTTCCCTTCTCCTGTGCTGGGGTTGGAACCCAGAGCCTCACACATGCTATGTAAAAGTTTTACCACTGAGCCACACCTCCAGCCCTATTTTCACTTTTTTTTTTCTTTTCTTCTTTCCCCCTCCTCCCCGCGACAGGGTTCTGTATAACAACCCAGACTGTCCTGGAACTCGCTCTGTAGACCAGGCTGGCCTTGAACTCAGAGATCCGCCTGCCTCTGCTCCAAATGCTTCAATTAAAGGCGTGTGCCCAGCTTCACTTTTCATTTTTAAGAAAGGGTCTCACTAAATCGCCCAGGCTGTTCTTGATCTCACTCTGTAACCCAGGCCGGCCTTGAACCTGTGGTCCTATTGACTCAGAGTCCCGAGTAGCTGGGACGACAGGCCTGCACCAACAAGCTAGTTTAGAGAGCACTTCTGGAGACAATGAGATGGCTGACTTCCCTTTTCTTCTTCCTTCCTCCTGGAAATGTCAGTTTCCAGTGCCGAGTCTCAGGTTGGCACTGACTGGCTCTCCCTTCTGCAGACTGCCAAATCTGGCTGTCATGTTCCATTCCAGGGGCCCACATGGCAGAGGTTGTTCTCTGACCTCCGCACACATGCCTCAGCATGCATGTGTACATGTGTATCTCTCTCTCTCTGTCACACACACACACACACACACACACACACACACACACACACACACACACACACACTGTAATTCTTAAAATTTGTTTTAAAAAAGAAGAAATCACTTCTGCAGTAAAGTGTCCTTCCAGACTTGATCTGGGACATGCATGCTTACCCATCACTGGAACCCTCTGCTGGGGTCCGGCACTCTTCCAACTCTGAAAACACAACATGGCTTTAACCCTGGCCCTGCCTGAACCTCTTCCTAGTGTGGCCCAGTGCACTGGGTCCTGAATGTTAGGGACAAAGTTGCCTGTGTGCAGTCCCAGCCACGGAGCCTCAGTCAGGATAAAAGCGGAGGCTTTCTCCACAGGCCAAGCAGTGGGCCCTGCCCTTCCCACGAGCTCTGCACCTGGGGCAGGCTCAGGTTTCCTGAGAACCACGGACTTGGGAGTCAGATTGCAATGTCCCCAATGGGAGAGTGGGGCCGGAGCTCAAGTGGCACTTCACCCTGGGAAGCTCTGGGCTCTGGGCTTGGATCCAGACCTGGATATTGCCCATCCCCCTCTTGAGCTTCAGAAAAGGTAGTCCAAGGCTGGGCGCAGCTCAGTGATAGTGTGCTTGACCAGCACTCGTGAGAACCGATGTTCAATGTCCAGTCCTGGCAAAAAAGGGGAGGGTTTGTTTGTTAGTCTTAAGTTTTTCAGTTGCATTTATGCATGGGGGCGCATGTCACAGGTTGCGTGTGGAGGTCAGAGGACACCTCCTGAGAGTTGGTTGTCTCCTTCCAGCATGTGGGTCCTAGGAATCAAATCCCGGGTTACCAGGCTTCAGCCCATAAAGAAACAAAAGTTTAGATGGGGCCAGAAAACCTGGCTCCATTCTGCCCGAGGAGGCGCTGCGGGGTCCCTGTGCCTGTTTCCAGACCTGAGAGACAGAGGCACATGTCTCTACAGATGACCCTAATGAGCTTCAGGGAAGAAACTTGGGCCATCAAGGCAGGGTTTGTGACATTATCTCCCTGGGTGATCCAGGCTGGTTAGGGAACTCTCAGTAGGGGAACACACACACACACACACACACACACACACACACACACACACACACACACACACACTCACACACACTCACACAATTATAAACCCAACTTGACTATGGAAGCTCATCTTGACTCTCTGTGCTTCTCTCTTCTCTGCCCTTACCACATTGGGTCTGGGTGAACAGAAGATTCCAGAAAAAGGAAGAAGGATATGGGGTAAGGAGAAAGGAAGAAAGAGAGAGAAAAGGATGGGGGAGGGGGATGCTAAAGAGTCTACAAGATAAAGAGATAAAACGTCAGGACTGTGGACAGTCAAAGCGGTACAGGCCAGGGTTGGAGAGTCGGCTCGGTGATCAAGGGCACTCACTCGCTGCTCTCGCAGAAGGCCAAGAAGACCAGAGCTCCATTCTCAGCACCCCTGTTGGGTGACTCACAGCTGCCTGTAACTCCAGCTCCAAACTCCAGCTCCAAGGGATCTGAGGCCCTCTTCTGGCCTCTTCAGGCACTGTACACACACACACACACACACACACACACACACACACACACACACACACACACACACACACACACTAAAAAAGTACATAAATGCAAGCCGGGCGTTGGTGGTGCACGCCTTTAATCCCAGCACTTGGGAGGCAGAGCCAGGTGGATCTCTGTGAGTTCGAGGCCAGCCTGGTCTACAAAGCGAGTTCCAGGACAGCCTCCAATACAATACAGAGAAACCCTGTCTTGAAAAACCAAAAAAAAAAAAAAAAAAAAACAAAAAGAAAAGAAAAGAAAAGAAAAAAAAAGTACATAAACGCAAATCTAAAGTAAAAATGTTGCAAGCCAGAGCCAAATAAATCCTGGACTGTTTTCAGAAAGCCACGTCTACTCACACTTGTGTCTGATCTAACATCCTTGTGACTACCAGGATTTCATAAAATATCCTTTGCAGACCACGACCTTTCACCAATCTGAAAGCTAAGGATGCCATCAGATTGTGTCTGAAGCCTATAGCAGTTTCCCTCACCTCAGTAAGCAACCCATTTATAGTTGTGTTTGCTTGATACACTGACAACTTCTTTCCTTCCTTCTTTCTTTCCTTCTTCCTTCCTTCCTTCCTTTCCTTCTTCCTTCCTTCCTTCCTTTCTACTTTCTTTCTTTTTCCTTTTCCTTTCTTTCTTTTTTTTTTCTTTTTTGGTTTTTCAAGACAGGGTTTCTCTGTGTAGCCTTGGCTGTCCTGGAACTCACAGAGATCCGCCTGCCTCTGCCTCCTCGTGGTTGGAATTAAAGGCGTGCGCCACCTCCCAGCCCATTGTCTCATTTCTTTTTTACGTAGCTAATGAAAATCACATGTAACCACTTCTACACTGGAACGAGGAATTTGAGGTAGTCAGAATCTATGTTCCCAGGCCACTTGTATTTGGCTCTGGAATAAATGAACAAATGATCTCTTCGAGGTGAAGTCTGTGATTTTAAATTGGCTGCATGGAGAGAGAGCAGCTTGCCACCACGCAGTCTTCTGGGTTCTCAAGAGGAGCCATCTGGATTCCAGCCTGGGAGAGAGGGGGTCACAGTGACTTCTCTGCAGTGTAGAAGGACGTCACGTTATTGGCTCCTGGTGGGATGAGGGAAGGCAAGCCTAGGGGCCTATGATGGGACTTTCTCCAGCTTCCTTGTTTTCCAGCTTTGTCACTGACGGAACATTGAGTCCTGGCCTCCCAATCCTTCCTGCCATGATGGATGGTAAGCCAAAATAAATCCTTTCTTTTTTTTAATTATTATTTTTTATTTAGGTTAGAAACAATCTTGTTTCCCATGCCAATCCCAGCCCCAATAAATCCTTTCTTAAGTCAGTTTTACCAGGTGTTTAGTCACAGCAGCAAGACAAGGAACTTTTACACCGTTCTGCACTGCCTTATCCCAAACAGTACCGTCAATTATTATTTATTTAAAAATTACAGTGTGTGTGTGTGTCTCTGTGTGTGCAGTGTGTACATGTGTCTGTGTGGTATGTATGTGTGTCTGTGCTATGTGTGTGTGTATGTGTGTCTGTGATGTATGTGTGTGGTATGTACATGTGTTTGTGTGTTATGTATGTGTGCCTGTGATGTATGTGTGTGGTGTGTACATGTGTTTGTGTGTTATGTATGTGTGCCTGTGATGTATGTGTGTGGTGTGTACATGTGTCTGTGTGGTATGTATGTGCATCTGTGGTATGTGTGTATTTGTGTGTCTAGGGTGTGTTTGTTGGTCCATGTGTCTGTGATGTCTGTGTGTGTTTCTGTGTCTGTGATGTATGTGTGTACATGTGTCTGTGTAGTATGTATGTGTGTCTGTGGTATGTGTGTATTTGTGTGTCTGGGGTGTGTGTGTGTGTGTGTGTGTGTGATAACATCTGTGAGTATTGATTCTTCTCCTTCTACCATGTGGGTTCCAGGGATTGAACTCAGGTTTTTAGAGTTGCCGGCAAGTGCCTTTATCCACCTAGAAATCTCAGCGTTCGCATTCCTCTTTTTTTAAATGTGCATGGTGTTTAGTCTGCATGTATATCTGTATGAAGGAGTCAGATACATTGGAACTTGAGTTACAGGCAACTGTGAGCTTCCATGTGGGTGCTGGGAATTGAGCCCTGGTGCTCTGGAAAAATAGTTGCGTCATCTCTGCAGTCCTGACATTCATCTGTTTTTAAGTCTTTCTCTGCTGTCTCAGGTTTGAGCTCCTCCTCCACCTTCTAGGTGCTAGGATTACATGAGTGCCACCACACGCAGCTCTCTTTTATTTCCCGTACCTCCTGCCACCTCCTGCCACCTCCTGCCACCTCCTGCCACCTCCTGTCACCTCCGCTAATTCTTCCTGCACAGGAAGGGACTATCTGTGACCAGAGCCTTCGACTCATTCGTAACTTAGCTCCCGGTGTCTAGCATGGTTCTGGCTCTTTCATGCATGACCCAAAGCTGGCATGTGACAAAGATTGGCTGGATGAACACGGTAACTCACCGAGCTGTCACATCAGTCCTGTCCGTTAGTATTGCTACTGCACCCATTTTCATAGAGCAAAACGGGGGCACAGAAAAGCAAATCATTTAAGATCCCATAATTGAGAAGTCAGGATTAAGGGCTAGGGAGATGGCTCAGGGGGTAAGAGCTCCTGCTGTGCAATCATGAGGACCTGAGTTCAAATCCCTAACATCCACAGAAAAAGCTAGGCATACAAACCCAGATTAAAACTGAGGAGTAAAGGCAGACAGATCTCTGGGGCTTGCTGACAACCGACCTAGCTCCAGGTTCAGTGAGAGCCCTGTCTCAAAGGAGAAAGACGAAGAGCGGTAGAGCAGCACCTGATGTCCTCCTCTGGCCTACACATGGTGTGTAGGTGAGCGCCTGCACACACACACACACACACACACACACACACGTGAACATGCATAATGTGAACACACAAAGTACATGTACACATGAAGTGAGGATTAATCTGGGCATAGTGGCTTTCCCTTGTGATCTCAGCACTCAGGGGCTGAGGCAGGGAGGATCACAAATTTAATAAGACCCTGTCTCAAAATAAAAAGTGAAAAAATTTCTGTGATACGTTCAACAATAGATCATCACCTGCCTAGAATCCCCCAATGAGGAGCTGGGGTGTGGCTCAGTGGTAGAGCCCCTGCCTAGAATCCCCCAGTGAGGGGCTGGGGGATGGCTCAGTGGTAAAGAAGACTGGATACAATCCTCAATATTGGGGGTAAGTGGAGACAGGATAAAGTGGAGTATGGCGGCACAAGCTTTAATATCAGCGCTCAAGAGCCTGCGCTAACAGGATCACACATTCAAGGGCATGACGTAGTAAGAGAAGCTGTCTCGTCTCATAAACAAAACAAAAGATAGCAGAGCGCTAGTCCTGGCTTCAGACCACTCTGTCAGGCTGCTGGGGCACAAGAAGGATGTCAGCATTACTAGAAAAGTCTGTGGAGCCCAGGCAGAGCCAGAGTGGCTGAACCTGAGTTTTCTGTGTCCCCTCCGGGCCTTCCAAGCCTGTTGCAGAGGCAGTGACCAACAGTATTTTTCCCGTCAGTAGACTGGGGCTGGATAGAAGTTCTAAGAGAGAGATGCAGAGGCCCCTGAGTAGCAGCTGTTCAAGACAGGGAGAGTCATACAATGAGCCAGGGAGTTGGATGTGAGAAGCTGCTGTGTCATTTCAATCTGGGTACAAGGTAGGTGTGTGTGTGGTGTGTGGTGTGTGTGTGTAGTATGTGTGTGGTGTGTGTGTGTAGTATGTGTGTGGTGTGTGTGTGTAGTGTGTGTGTGTGAGTGTGTGTGTGTAGTGTGTGTGTGGTGTATGTGTGTGTGTGAGTGTGTGTGTGTGTGCGGTGTGTGTGTGCGGTGTGTGTGTGTGGTGTGTATGTGATGTATGTGTGTGTGTGGTGTGTGTGGTGTGTGTGTGTGTAGTGTGTGTGTGGTGTATGTGTGTGTGTGTGTGTGTGTGTGTGTGTGTGTACATTATGTGGGAGGATGCCAGGCAAGCATTACTGAGTTACACCCCCGTCCATCCTTGGGAATTCTAGGCAAATGTGACTTTGTGTAATTGGTCCCTGG